GGTCTATGGTGCCCGTGGGGTCTTCAAAACTCTCATATCTGCAGATTAAACATCATTTACAATCAGCCTCATTTACACACATCAGCTGCATTCACCGCTGACACTAAATCAATTCAAACTTTCAAAACCTTGTGAACTGCTTTATTGTTAAACGGGAAGCTATCTTCTAAGGGACCAGTGTTTAGGGTTTAAAACTAAGACTATTAAAAATTGCTTTTGGTTTCTTGTGTGGGTGGGAGTTATATTGGGGTGAAAATGTTGATATTGTAGAGATGCATTAGGTTGTACTCTGAAAAGTGGCTGAAAAACAATAAAAATTGTTAATCGGGGAAAAAAAATTGCTTTTGGTAACAAATAAAATATAAAATGAATTTTTTTTTTTTTAAACTGCCTTGACAACAAGCTGAAATAAGTTTAATTTGAAGTACTAACATTACTAAAACTAAAATGGAAATAAAAATAAATTAAAGAAATTTTAAAAATGAATTTAAAATCAAAATTACTAAACCTTAAACTAAAAACAAAAATATGAAATTGAAAACTGAAAATATAAAATAAAATAAATATTATAATAGTATAATATAGTATAATAATAGTATAAAAATAATACAAAAAAAATAATTTAAGAGGCTTGATGCTCAAAGTTTATAATGACACATACAAATACATTGTAAATACAAATAACGGATGAAATAATGTATTTTAAATCGCAGGTTAATGAAACTTTTCAGTGCTGAACAAAGTTTGCTTATAATCAAGAGTTACAAAACTCTACGTGCATTCTGGGATTGCGTTATCTGTAACTGATACATGCTACTGTATTTAGTATAATGTATAATATTTAGTATAATGTTGCCTAGGTAGGCATCTCACTAGGGAATGGAAAAGTGTTAAACTGGAATAAAACTAAAAGGACTGAGAGAACAAGACAGGGACAGAAACACACTTCTCTCTGACGGCTTTGGCGTTCCTCTCGTTCAGCACGGCCACAGGTTTAGAGAGATCTCTGAACACCCGCGGATCGGACAGATCCAGCTCCTCGGACGTATAATCCGACAGGATCCAGGGGAACTAAAATCAGCAGAGAAAGATCACTCAGGAAGCGAATGAGCGCTGATGTGTGCCCACACTGTGGTTCAAACAGAACTGAGAGCGGCTGTGTAAATGTCACTCACCACAGGATACTGAGCCAGATCATTATACGTCCGTCCTGCTATGGTGTTCAACTGCATCAGGTAGTCAAAGTTTGAGATCTCCCTGTTCACCCATTTCTGATGACAGAGAGAAGGTAAAGTCAGCTCTGAACCTTCAGTGATGTACTATATGAA